AATGGGCCCAGGAAAAAGTGAAAAGAGTCCTGAAAGCCATCAAAATGTTATCTGTGCATTTAAATATTTCCAAATGTATGAAGTAGGGCTGATCACTACTAATTTACACGTATATGTTAAAAATTTGGTGCTATACTTGTTCCAAATCACTCAACCTATTTCGTGTTTGTGTTTATTAAAAAAAGCCAAAGAATTGGGGGGGGTGGGGGGTGGGAGGGGCTGTGTGTTGATGGGGATGAGCAAAATGCAGCATAATTGTTATAAATAGGCAATGGCAATTTTGCCCAAATTACCCAATTTTTAAGAACAAAGCAGAAGACAAACAATTACTATTTAAAATGTGAGCAGGTGTTACAGGTTAGATGTAGATTTTTAACACCTAAGTCCCTCTGCTTACATTAGAAAGGTAATAATATCCATTTCATTTTAACACTTGAAGCCCTGGGAGCCTCCAAGGTTTTTCTGATTCTTCTCAACCTTCTTCTTGACAAGCTGCACATTTTCAAAATGTGCTTTTAAATTCCAAGTCCAGTCATCCCTGGTTCATCTTTTTGGTTATGTCTGTAGAAAGATACATAAAAGACAAGATAATCACTGACAGCCCCGGTATCCTAGATCATAAATCACTGTTGAACGCGCAGAGCCAAACTTGTGATTCATTAGATATACGTGGCCATCTATGTTATTAGTTTCAGTGTAATTTAATAGTGATATTAAGGTAGAGTTTAGGTTGAGCTGTTGCACAAAGATAAAACTCAGGATTTCAGAAAATTTTGAATAAAGCATTGTATTTTAAAGGAAAACGTACTGAGTAAAGGAAAACTTGATATGACAGGGGTCCCAAAGAAATACTAACAATGAGACCTATTCTTACCAAGGAGAGAAGAAGGCCTTTGAACTGATGGGAGTAATGGGCCAGACGAAGAGAGATGGTAAAAACAGTGGAAGATTCTCCCCTCTCTAAAATTAATGTTTCAAAACTTAGAAACTTGGTAGAAATCTGTGGACGATGAGGAAATTACTGCTGAAAGGGGAAGACATCAAAAATAAATCATCCAGAGATGAGAAGTCTTGCTCATTTTCCCGTGATACCAGAGAATACTGGTAGGGAATGGGAAGCTGTAAATAAGAAAATAGAAAGCTTTCTAGAAAGGAGGAAAGTTAGACTTTAAAGAGCAAAATAAACATGAATAGCTGCTGAAGTGATTAATAGACTGCACTGGTTTAAAAACACTCAACACATCAATTGTAGCAGGAAGAGCAAAATGAGATAAATACTTGTAAGACAAGGTTAAGGAGACACATGGAGATAAAGAGCAGGCATTTCCTTACCCTTCAGGCAAGGATGAAGGCACAGCCTCCAGGCATCCTGGAGTATTTGTGGTGGTTGGTTTATGGGATTAAAACTGACAGATGAAGAAAAAGAAATTGTGAATAATGGAGATAGTTCTTTAGAGCCTTGTTTAAGAGCAAGAAAAAGGTGCTCAGAGAGGGGAAAGAATGTGGGTTAATACCACATCAAAGCATGGAGAAGCAAATGAATTAACAGAAGGTACAGGTCAGAATGTGCAGCTCTGATGGGCCTGATGGAGAGAGATTGTTCTCTGGTCTGAAGTTCTCACCTTGGATTCCATGTACTTTGGAGCACCAATGGGGGAAAACTTGTTTTGGTTGCACTTTTCAGTGGCAGATAAATGGGGTAAAGGCAAAATAATTGACACAGGTGGTAGACAATCACGTCTCTAAAAGGAAATGAAGAAAATATAAAAATGGAATGTCGATGACATGACAAAATATTGATTTTTCAGTTTTCTGTTGGATCTTGCTTATAAAACTTCTACGAAGAAGAGTTAACGTGATGACAAGGTCTACCCTCCATTTGACGTATCTTCCCTTTGACGGCAGCAAATTCTTCCTTAATCTTTGAGGGCTGCTCACAGGCTACCTTCCTGGGGGGGGCCTTTCCTTTCTCGCTGGGGCGCCTCCACGTCTCTGCCATGGTAGCACTGCGCCCTCAGTTCCCCTACCCTCCCAGGGGCTATCATTTTCAGTTCACATGCTGGTTTCACTTTGACGGAAAACTTCTCTAGGCAGATAGATTTATTTTTTCTTGTTGATATTTTTAATCCCAGCTCCTAGGCTGGGATCTAATTATAGTTGGCATGCAATACTTGTTAACTGAATGAATGATCTTAAGAGAAATAGTGAGCTTCCCAAAGAAGGATGTCTATAAGGACGTTTATTTCGCTTGAGGCGAGACAGACAAGACAAGTCACATGGGGTGGGCCTGGACCCTCAAGCTGCTGAAATATGCTCAGGGACTTTATCTGATTCCCAGTAGCAGAGCTGGAATCTAGACCTTTTGTAACAAAGGCATCTCAGTGTCCTGTGGGATAGGTGCATCCCGGGAGGTGTAGAGTGTTCTGGAGGGTGTGAGTCCTGCGCATGTGTATGCCTCTGAATGCAGCTTTTTCTTAGCTCTCAAAATAAGTGGCACTTCAACCCTAGATGCTTCTTCCAGTTCCTGGTTAAAATTTTAGGTTCTTCGTACCCTGAGCATTTCCCTGAGCCCTGGACCACCTGCCTTGCCCTTGACATTGACACCTCTTCACTGTGTCCACATAGGCTGGGTGAGGTCCTGCTTTGTTCAGCCCTGATAGACAGACCCTTATGGAACAGCACAGCTGTCGTACAGTCTCTGGCTGTCAGGTCTCCACTGAGCAGGTTACATTTTTTGAATCCTTCTCATCATGTCCTTGGCTACTGCTTCCATCCTGGTCCGAGCCACCCCATCATCTCCTCCAATAGTCTCTTAAAAGTTCTCCTTACATCTATCCTCATCCTGCTTTAGTTTATTTTCAATACGGTGGCCAAAGTGATCCTTTGAATACTGAAATTACTACTTAACTCTGTCAATGACTCACCAATTCATTCAGAAGAAAAAGCCAAATTCTCTGCCACAGATTGTAAGGCCCTACAGGATGGGGCCCCTCCCTGATGCTTCTGCTAAACTTTACCTTGCTCCCTCTGCTTCTACTTCCCTGGCCTCTCTCTTCTCCTTAGTGGCACTGGGCATGATCCTGCCTCAGGGCCTTTGCTTATGCTGTTTCCTATTCCTGAAAGCTTTCTTATGTCTCAGCTTAGGAGAGCTCTAAATCTCAGTGGCATATAAAAACAAAGATTTATATTTTTCCACGCCCAATGCCTACTCTACAGTGTGTTATTTTTGACTCAGGTGGAAAGAGCAGCCCTTATCTAGACGTAACTGATAGCATGGCAAGTGATAGCATGGCAAATGAGAGGAAAATATGGGAACAACATTAAAGACCATTGCTTTTTTTTTTTAAAGATTGGCACCTGAGCTAATGTCTGTTGCCAATCTCCTCTCTTCTTTTTTTTGTTTTTTCTTCTTCTCCTCAAAGCCCCCCAGTTCACAGTTGCATATTCTAGTTTTAGGTCCTTCTGGTTGTGCTATGTGGGATGCTGCCTTAGCGTGACCTGACGAGCGGTGCCATGTGCCACTGAAGCAGAGCGCATGAACTTATTAACCACTCTGCCACGGGGCTGGCCCCAGGAACACGGCTCTTAACACTTAGAAATAGATACATCATTCCACTCATATTTCTTTAGTTAAAAAGAGTCATGGCCAATCCTGCTATCAATTGGTCAGTGATTTATAACCTCAAAAAGAGACGCAAGATCTATTTGGGACAAGAATGCAATCGATCACACCCCAGATATCATCTTGCCCAATTCCCTCACTTTCCTCAAGTTTTGCTTAAAACTCACCTTCACCATCAGGCGTCCGCATTTTACTAGTACAACCTGCTCCGTCTTAGTCTACTTGGTTTACGGTCCTTCCACCTGCCAGTTAATCCCTCTTGAGCTGCTTCTCAAATGAATCAACAAGAAGCAGTTCTACCTAGCTTGCAGACCTGAAGTCGGCAAACGAATGCCCTCAAAGAAAAGGTGAGGTAGGTTCTTCTCTGCACTCCCGACGCCTGAGGAGCCCTCCTTGGGAAGAGCTTTCTTCTGTCCCTGTGCCCCAGGCTTGCTTTGGGTGGAGTTCCATGTCTGAAGCTGTCTAGCATAATGGGCTCTGGGTTATGAAATCAATAGGCATGAGTTTAAATTCTAGCCTTGCAAATTTAATAGCTGTGTAACTTTATGCAAGATATTTAACCTTTTGGAGCCTCAATCTTTTTGTCTTTAAAATAGACAGACTAATGACTTCCTGAATGAGGGTTGCATTTCTCCAGCAAAAATAGGAGATGAGGAGTAAATATGTGAAGCTCTCCAGGGGAATAAAGAAAACCCAGTGAAAGTATAAATCTAAAACAAATGCCGAAAAATGAAAATATTATTAAAGTAACACTTGGCTATTAAAGTTATATACTAGACTATTAAAACCATAAAAATGAGGAGAAATGGAAAGATTACGCTGTTAAAGATATTAATGGAGGCTTTGATGAGACATTTTACTATTTAAATTACAGAGTAATAAGATGCAAAAGGAAATTAAGAAATTGAAATAAAGGAAGAATCTATTACTTGTCTAAACAGAAATTTGAAAACAATGTAAGGTGAATATAGTAAAAAAAAAAGAAAGAGAAAACAAGATGAACCTAAATAATAGAGAATTTCATTTTTCATTATAGAAAATAGAATTTTTTTTTTTTTTTAGCAAATTTCCCTGTACATTTCTTTGTGGCTGGCTTCGGTTATCATTCTGTATGGTGTCCTGATGGGGACATTTTGGTGCTCCTACACGGCTATAGGAATGTCTTAATGAGGAGACATGTCTGGCAGGAATGCTGAGCATAACACGCAATTGCTTTATCATATAATGTGATTCCCCTTTAAGAAAGGAGAGGATCCCAATGCCCTGGGGTTGAACTTTGCCTTCTGTGTCTTAGGTAATATGACCAGCGGAAAGAGAGTAATCTGTTGAAAACAGTGTTTTGAAAAGAAAAGGGCATTTGGCAATCCAGGAAAGTGACATGGCCAATAAGACAGCAGAGTAGAGGATAAAGTCAACAGTATGAAAAGGAAAACCTGGACAGCTACGAAGAATAACCAAGGGACTCGATACTTTATAAGTAAGTGTCTGTAGGACTTGAGGATAAGGACCTTTAGAAGATGTTCGAAGGGTTTGCAGAAACAGAACTCAGAGAAAGCAGAAATGCCTTGTGGAATGGTTTCCATAAACTGCCGGAAGCAGCACAGCTCTGAGGGAGGAAAGACACTGCCCCAACAACGGCAAGTGAAATCGAGGGAGTAATACATCTTTTGAGCTTCCACTATGTACCAGCTTCTGTACTGGGCTCTTGGTTTACCTTTTACTTTATTAATGTTTACAGCAAATTTGTGAGTTAGACATTACATATTATTTTTTTAAACAAACAAACTGAGTCTTGGAGAGGTGCCCTAGCTTGCTGAGGGCTAACGTGTGTGGTTTGACAGAGCTAGGATTTCAACTAAGAGATTTCTAGCTTGAACATTTTCTTCGCTTCCCAGTTCTCTGCTGTAGCCCTCTGGTGGAGGAAAGCAAAGGGAACTTTGCAAGTGAAATGCTGCATGCTAGGACATGAGCAATCCCTTTGATCCAATCAATATTTGGGAAAAGTACAAAACCCATAATATGCTAGGAGAGATGAGCTCTCTTGAGAAAGGCAGTGATGACGTGAGATTGCCTCCAGGTAATCACAGGTCAGAACAAAGTGCACGCACATATGTGAGTTGATGGCTGTACATCATGTGGAACGATAAGTACATAGCAGCTACAAGGATATTTCACACATCCACCGTCCCTCCCGGGTCTCCAGGCTATCATATTGTTTTGTACTGTTTCTTTATTTTTTTGGCTGAGATGGGTTGTGGGGGCAATGGCCTGGGCCGGAAGACAGAAGGGGAGTGAGATGGAAAGAGCTGGATAAAAACTGGGAGTCAACCAAAAAGATACAAATTGGGTTTGTCTGTTTGGTGTGAGTCAGCCAGTACGTATGCTCAGCCCACTTCTGCGGGACTGCTAAATTCTGGTCCTCCCCTTTCTCCTCAAGGACTACCTCCTCTCAATGCTCAGACTTTTTCCCCTTGAATTCTCCTTAAAATTTCATGTTCTTTAGCATTCTCTCATATTCTTTTTTCTTTTTATATGCAGCCAGTTCTGAGTCAGCTCAGTTCTACCTCATTATCTGTCCATCTACCCTCTTATCTCTGTTCCTCTGTCAATAAGGACCTACTTATCACTCACGTGGATTCCTACAATACCCTCCTAACAGATGCCTTGGTCTCCAGTCCTGTCGCTCTTTCGAATCCACTGGATGCACTCTGATGGATGCCTGCACAATTCTCATTATGTTACCGTGCTGTTTATAGCTGCTCAACAGCTCCTTATCCATTTCAGGCAAAGGACAAACTTCTTAGCATGGCCTAAAAAGCCCTTTGTAAAAAGCGCCTGTAACCTCTCCAACAGCAATTTAAGGCTTCTTTCTCCCTAAATGCAATCCTCTAGCTTTCTACACCTGCATCATATTCTCTCCACCTCTGGGCCTTTGAGCGTGCTCTTCTCTCTAGTTGTAGCATCCCCCACAGTCCTACATTCACCAGGCTGGCTCCTGCTCAACCTTATGTTTTGGGGTTCCTTTGTCTTTCTGACAGACCAATAGGAGATTCTAAGAAATGCTTTAAGTTCTGATTCTGTGAGGTTCCTGTTGCAATGTTCATGAGAATCTCTTCTCATATCATAACAGTAATTGTTAATTAGTATGAACATTAAACTTGTGAATTAATCATTAACCAATACAATGTGCCAAGCATTGAGTTAGGCCTTAGGGGAAAAAGGTGAGCAAGACATAGCTTCTGCCCTGGAGGAGTCACAGTCCAGGGAGGAGACAAATTTGATTAACTGTCATACAACGTGGGAAACGCCGCAACAGCTATAAAATTCCCAAGGAGATGATGGCCACCCTGCCCAGGGAAGTTGGGGGAGACTTCACAGATTAGACAAAACTTTAAAACCCTACCTTGAAAAACTTATAGGACTTGTCAGGTAGAGAAGGAAAGAAGAGAAATGCTAGGCAAAGAGAATAGCATATTATTATAATAACCGGACTTAATATTATTATTTCATTTGCTAATCCTGCTATTTTGACTTTTTTTTACCATTAGCGAGGCCTTAACTTGAGGTAAAGAGAGTGGACTTGGTGAGTTTTTACTAGACACATCTACTCATTTCCCAGTTAGGATGGGGAATGGCATTGTGTTGGTGTATATTTATTGCCTGAGGGTTCCTCTTTCCTTTTGGTGGGGTCGCAGACAATTTTGAAAGTCCTTTCACAAATGACGGCCTATGTAAGTTTCAATTAGCAAAATCACAGCTCTTTTGAACCTTGCTGACTCGGGTATTGACCCCGTGGGAACCTTCTTGCCTCTGGTGTAGACTGAAATGTATATAACATTTGGTGCTAGTGGTTTTATTTGGGGTATTTGGACATATTTACATTTTTGCTTAGGAAAGCATCTTTCTGAACTGTGACTACAAACTGTGAATTCCACTAGAAAACAGGTCTTTAGAATCTTGGCAAGGTTCTCATGCTCACTGTAAGCTCGATTTAACCATCTTTGGGATTTGTCTGTGGAACACATATGTTCTTATTAATTGATTACATATTAATAAAAATGATAACAAGTTGACAGTTGTGGATGCTTTTCAGTGGAAGTGCTAGCATGATGAAACAGGCTCTGGTAAACTTCTGTTCCATTGGCTTCTACTTAACCAAAGATGGAGAAATACTTTAGACTTACTTTACTTTAAAAATGCGGTAATGGTCTATTCAAACTTGCTGCAAAGTAAATTACAGTGAGCAATCTCTGCTCACCGAAGTTTCTGCCATTTCTCACCTCACCACCCCCTTCCACACTCATTCCATCCTTAGACGAGCTTATTTGGCATAGTTCTGGTTTCAACTATAATAATAATAATAATTGTCATTATTATTATATGCACACATATCACTCATTATGTGCCAGGTAACATTCTGAGTATTTTATGGGTATCTAGTTGTTTAATCCTTCCAATAGCTCTTTGTGGTGACACTATTACTATTTCATTTTATAGGTAAGGGAGCTAAAGCACAGAGAGGATAGTCACATGCTCAAGGTCGCAGTTAGTCATTGATGGTGCTGGGATATGGACTCAGACAGTCCAGCCACAGGGATGGTACCCTTAAATACCGTGCTACACGCCTCTTTAAAAACGGTCAAAGGAAATGCGCTTTCATTCACAGCTTCATAGCAGGAGGTTAATTGATTGGAGGACACAGGGAACCCCACGCAAGCAAGTGAACCTCATCTTAAATTGGAAGTGAGAACTTGGGTCACTGGAGGTGGCAGGAGTAAGAATATGGGACCTGTTCATTCTGGTAATGGCCATGGCTGTATTTCCAGTACCAGTCTCAGATGTGTGATGTAACAGAATTCAACAATCTTAGTTGAATCAGTGAAAGATTGAATGAATGATGAATATTGCACAGGAAGTAAGATCTTCCAGTTATGTCATTGGTAAGCAGCTCCTCCGGGCTACTCTTTGAAGTGAGTAAAGAGACTCACTACACTGGTCACTCCCTGAAATGCCAAGGTCCGGCAATCCCAGGAGAAGGGAGATGGGAGAAGAGGAACGAGGACAACCACGTACAAATAGCAGCAATTACATTTATTCTAGTTGATAAAATAGAATCATTAAATTTTTAATGATCTCCATACTGAGATTCCTTTCTTTCTTTTTTTTTTCATGCTTTTCTTCTGGTAATCTTGTTTTCTTTAAATTTAGGGCTACAGTGGCCATTTTGAGAAGAATTGTCCCAGTCAACTTTAGAGCTGATGGAAACAGGATAAGAAAACTGATCTCAGATCTTTGTTGTTGAGTCTAGAAGTGGAACCAGACTGTCTTCCTACCCCCTTCCTGCACCTGAGCAGCTCACCATCTCCAGAGGAAAGCACACAATTGACTTCATCTCATTTTCCAGGTACAGTCATGTGCTGCATCACAATGTTTCTATCAAGATGGACCACATACGTGACGGTGGTCCCATGAGATTAGTAGCATACAGCCTATGTATGTATCAGGCTATACCATCTAGGTTTGTGTAAGTACACTCTATGATGTTTGTGCATCCATGAAATCGCCCAACAATGCATTTCTCAGAACACATCCCCGTCATTAAGTGATGTGTGACTGTTGACCATATCTCTCATTTGAATACTCAACACAGCTTGGCAATCCTGCTACAATTCCCTAGCATAGTCATCTTCTTACTTTCTAAAAGGACCACTTTACTCCTCTTGTCTTGATAAGTCTTCTAAAATTTCTGTTCACTCCCAGCTGGTCATTTCCCTCATATTTATTTCGAAAACAGCAGTAATCAGACAGGACCTTTCTTATCTTCTCAGCGCTAAATCTACTACCACCTTGTATGTCAACCCCACTGCCATCTGCCTATTAGTCAAGGTGTCCCTACTTCTATGTAAGGCTGCTCCTCTACTTGTGATTGGAAGCCCATGTTTCTTGCCTTCTCAAGGACTTTGCTTCTGCAATAGTTTTCTTCTATTTTTCTTAGAAATATTTTCATCTCTAGTGGAATTTTATTTGACATATGAATATGCTCTAATATGTCCTGTTTCAAACAAAAGCCACATTTGACACCTATCTCCCTCAAGCTACAGCTCCATTTCTCTGATTATTTTCATGTTTTTATAGTTCTCTGTAGCTGGTCTCTCTCACTCACCACACATCCTGTCCTTAAATTCCTGCTCCACACATCCGAATCTAAAAGTCACATCTCTGTCTTACTCTGCTTGGACTGACAGTAGCATTCAAAACAGATGATCACCCTTTCTTTTTAAAAACAATACCTAATGGGTATATCAGTTATCAATTGCTTCACAACACATCACACTAAAACTCTGTGCCTTAACATAATGATTTATTGTTGCTCATGAGTTTATGGGTCTTCTGTGTGGGTTATATGGTTTCTTTCCTCATCCATGTGTTTATGGTCAGCTGCAGGTAATGTGGTTCTGCTGGTCTAGGCTGGATTCTTGCATTCTGGGTTGACTGGTTCTAGGATGGCCTCATCTGGGTTATTTCAAAATTGGCAGCTTTGCACACTTTGACCAACTCTATTCCACTAGCTCTGTCTATGTAGAAGGTAATAGTGCTGATTTATTGGTGGCAATCTTTGACTTTCTGTGTGTTTGTGTGAACACACAAATCTGAAACCTTTTTATTCCTCTACATTTCTGTAAATTGCATGGTTTTGTTTTCAGGTTCAATAGAAATGAGTAAGAACTTCATGGAGCCGTTTCTCATTTTGTAGTTTCTGATTGTGCAGAGGGTCAAAACAAGGATAGAGGAGAATTAAAAACATCCTTAGGTTATTTCATTTCTGTGTGAAGACCTGTGTGAACAGAAAAAGCATTTTAGATAAATACTTGTGCAAAAAAAGTCAACTTTTCTGTGACTGAGAAGCTATCAAAAATAAATGAGCTATCTCTGAAATACGTAAAACCTTTTTCATATGTAAATAAGGTAAAGTGGCAGCTCTGCCATCTGTGAGAGCATGAGAGTTCTTGGAAAATGACTCATTCAGTTAGGCAAAGATATGAAACCATATTTGAATGTAAAAATATGTGAGTTACAGAGAATCTAGGATGTTACGGATCAGCACAGACTCCTGCCAATGTGGTGTTTAGAATAGTTGTGGGGGTCATTGAAAAATTCACAAATACTGCAAAAGTGGATGAGAAAACTATAAGTAGTGAACACTGCTTTTTGAAATTGGTCTGATTTAGGATGTAGAATTAAATATTGAAGGGCCTACACAGATCATTTAGTTCAACAGCATTTTGTCTACTGAAACACTGAAAAAGAAGCTGAGGCCTAGAGGGATTGAGGGAGTTGCTAACGGGACGGAGAGAACTTTGGGCATAGCCAGGACTGGATGTACAGGCTGTTGACACTCAATCTTCATCCTCACCTTCCAGGTGTGGCAGCTCTTTACTGCTGAGAAAAGTCCTGCACTGATTTTAGTATGTTTCTATAATGTTGAAGGCCTAAAAACTAATGCTATCTCCTGTGCAGCCTCAGGAATTTATTAACTTGGGTGTTCCAGACAATATATTTGAGCTTTTTACATTAAAAAAATCGACATCTTGATGGTTTTCATGAGATAAGGTGTTTAAGGCAAATCACAAGGGTAAGTTTTTCAGAAGTATATCTTTTCACAAGAAAACTTTTCAAATTTGGGGTTTTACTTACTGCTTTGCATGTCTCACTCCGTGGGTTAGAGTAATTGAATCTCCAAATCTGTTTTGAGGTGGAGATCTTCTATGACTAACCTCATCTTAGAAAGGCAACTTTACTAGATACTTTCCCCTCCTTTTCCCCCTCAAAATTGAGGGACAGTGTTCCTAGGAAAGGTTACTACCCTTCTGATCGTTAATTGGAGAATCAGTTTTCTTTCTGGTAAATGGAGAAATCTTCCACATAAAACCAATAAACTAACCTGTTTGGTTTTCCTTGCCCAAAATGATGGGAAAACAAGCGGACTTCAAATTTTCTTCCTTTGACCTAAGGCGAATGTAAAATGGAATATTTCTGAGATTTAAAACCATGTGGTAGAATTTTAACTTTGTCTGCTAATGAGAAAGAATGATGCTAGTAATCTAGAACAGTGAGCAATTAGAGTCATTTCACTTTATATTTGGAATTGAGTATATGAAGTTTGGTAACAATGAAAATTTACTAATTAAATTTTGTTTGGACTGGAATTAAAATTTGTCTGCATGTATTATTGGAAAATCAGAATCCCTGGGATTCTTAATGATGGAAGCATAGAGAATTTTTAGGGAAGCAGCATGGTAAGTAATGAAGAGTGGACACATGGAAGTCATATTGCTAGATTGAAGCCCAGCACTGCTGCTGTTACTCAAGAAACTCCAGGCCAGTTCCTTAACCTCTGTTTCCCATTTTGTACAATGGGAATGCTAATGATACCCTCCACAATAAGGTTGAGATCATTTATACATTGCACTTAAAGTACCTGGTACTTAACAAGAAATTTAGCTATTCCTGTCTAGGCAACTGGGCTAATGACATAGTGTCTTAGTCAGTTTGGGGGGCTGCTGTACAAAGTACCATAGACTGGGTGGCTTATAAATGATAGACATTTATTTTTCACAGTCCTGGAGGCTGGAAGTCTGAGATGAGGGTACCATCGTGGTCAGATTCTGGTGAAGACTCTCTTCCAGGTTGTAGACAGCCAACGTCTTGCATCCTCATGTGACAGAAAGAGGGCTAGCTAGCTCTCTGGCCTCTTTTTATGAAGGCACTAATCCCATTCACAAGGGCTCCACACTGGTGACTTAATTACCTCCCGAAGGCCCCACCCCCAAACACTGTGACCTTGGGGATTAGATTTCAACATGCGAATTTAGATGGAGACACAAACATTCAGTTCATAACACATACTAACCTACTATATCTCCTGCGAGTGTTTTCTTCTTTTTAAGCCTAAACATCTATGCTAGCAGCTCAATTAATTATCATTTACGTTTTTCTTTTAAAAAACCGTACTTGAAAGAGAAGAATATCTGGTTCATTGAGTTTAGGCAGAGATGATGGTTATGTAACCCATTTCTCTTTTTCTATCTAGCTCTCTAGCCATCCGTTCATCCATCTGTCATCTATTTATATATCCATCCATTCATCTATCTATGTATCATCTATCTCCATCCATCTGTCTATGTATCATCTATCCATCCATCCATCCATCTATCTATCATCTATTTATCTACTTATCTATCCATCCATCCATCCAGCCATCTATGTATCATCTATCCATCTATCTATCCATCCTTCCATTCATCTATCTATGTGTCATCCATCTATCTATCTATTTATCTTTCTATCCATATAGCCATCCATCCATCTATCTATGTATCATCTATTTATCTATCTATCTCATCTCTCTTTCTATCTATGAAGTTCTTAGTATTCTTCTTTGAACTAATGGTAACATCTTACTGATTTTCTAAATAAAACCCTTGACATGTATACATTTTATATCTGCATAAGAGTCATGATTATATCCTCTTTAATAATGATCTTTTAACAACTGCAACTAAGAACACATTTTAAATTGATAAAAAGGAGAAGAAATTGAAAAAAAACCCTCATACCCACTGAAAAATGGCCAGGTCCATGTATTTCTGTTATATGCCCAAAAGTAATTACTCCAAGTTAAAAGACAAGATCATACCTGTTACCAGGAAAGCTGTAACAACTTTTTGTTTGTTTGCTTTTAAATTCAGTACGCATGTATGACTTACGTCACATTAAAATCTGCAGATGTCTCATAAATTTCAGATTTACATGTCAAATTTCTTGATATAAACATGAAACCATCAGCAACCAGGTGGCACGCACGCACCATTTATTGGACAATAGGGTGCACATTTAGTTGGTGATTCTGTAGTTCATGTGGATTTCTGGTTTCACGTCACAGACAACACTCAAGAGCTGGTTCATCACATTCTCCATGTACTTGCTGTAACTTCCATTCAGTTCTTTTATCTGCCCTTGTGTTTGTTCTTCTATTTCTTCTGAGAGACTGCTCTGAGATCCCATTATCTACCAAGATAAAACAGACAGAATTCACTGCACTGTACATCATATTAAAATTTAATGGTTTTATAAGTTAAATTTGTTTGGGCCTATTTATCAATGATGGTTCTATGGTGTACACATTATGTATTATTTTTCCAGAATTTTCTCAGAGAATGGGTAAAATTACCAACACCATGAGTGGGGTGGATAGACTTTCCTAAACAATGGAAGCTGACCATGGCAGTGCTTCTCTTCTAAGCTGACCCCCACACCGTGCAAATGGAACACAAGTTCACGATCCTCATACCATACACAGATGTTTTTCATCACATTTTTCATATATTTATAATAATTTCTATTCAGTTCCTGCATCTTGCCTATTGCTTACTTTCTGAATTAAAAGTAGAAAATAAAGTTGAAAAACATCGTGAAACCCATTTTTAATGGTTTTTAAAGGACAAATAACTGGTTTGACAATTTTTAAAGTACGTCATCTGAACTGATTAAGTCTTGTTTTTCAGGAAGATAAAGCCACCATATGCCCAGTAAGATACTCTTACGTGCACAGGTGTATCTTTTTGGCTAATAGATATAATCTTGAAAATTTTACTATAATTTGGATTTCTTTCAAATTGAGATATATGCATCCACTTAGTTACATTATAGTTTCAGACACGGTTTCATGTATCTTTCTGATTGCTTTTTCATTGGCAGGGGTGCCCAGGATTTCCATCATCTTCTCTATCCTCTTTGCTTCTCGATCCTGTAATGATTTGACTAATACATAATTTCACCAGGGGAGTGACCAATTTAAGGGGATTCTGAGGTGAAACCCTTTGTAAAGTTATCCTTTGCTAAAGCAAACAGACAGCTCCCAATTTACCTCCTTGGTAAACTCAGCCTTTCTCAAACATGGCAGGTTCAGGTGACATAGCTGGTTTTTGTTGGTTTGTTTTTCTGTTCTGTGAGTGTTTAGGGAAAGTATGCATTTAATTTAATCCAAGAGACTCCACTAATGAGAGATTCCTACTGCAGGGCTGATGGACTGTTCTAACTTCTAGACTCCACATAGTCTTTCTGGGTCCTAAACTTGAAATCAAATGCAATTGGGTCTATAAGGTTAAGTCCTTTTCTGTTATATAGGGGCTTCTGCTAATAGGGGCTTCCCAGTTCAAAGAAAATCATTTGGAGGAGATATAGCTTCTAAGACATCAAATAACTTTTATAAAATAACATTTTGATAAGTGAGAAGCAGAGACATATGCACTAAATTTCCCTTGTTAAGAAGTTTAAAAATAGAAGGGATCTGCTTACCAAAATAATTCTACCAAAATCAAACTTTTCCTTTATATCCAATATCTTAACTGAGAAATTCTATCAAACTCAAAAAAATTATTTTTCCTAAATCCAATGTCTTAAGTGGTGAAGAATTTAAAAGACAAACTGTTATGAAACAATTAGCCATTTTTCTTTGGAGTCATGTTAAAAGTAGTTATTATTAGGCTAGATTACTGCAATTATCTTGTGGGACTTTGGAAAAGTCCATCTCAAGCTTAGGTTCTTTATGTTTTAAATGTTTTATTCTTTATGATGAGGCTGTTGTAAAAACTCAACCAGATTCATGAACGCAGAGTGTGCACAGCAGTGCTGTTTGATAGAAATGTCATATAAGGCACAAGGCAAGCCATATAAACTATTTTATTTAATTATTTAATTAATTAATTAATTAATTCTTTTTGAGGAAGATTAGCCCTGAGCTAACATCTGCCACCAATCCTCCTCTTTTTGCTGAGGAAGACTGGCCCTGAGCTAACATCCATGTCCATCTTCCTCTACCTTACATGTGGGACGCCTACCACAGTATGGCTTAGACAAGTGGTGCCATGTCCGCACCCGGGATCTGAACCGGGGAACCCTGGGCCACCTAAGGGGAACATGCAAAGTTAACCACTGCACCACCGGGCAGGCCCCCCATATATAAGTAATTTTAAGTGTTCTAGAATCACATTAAAAAAGTAAAAGGAAATAGGTAAAATTAACTTTAACTATATATTCTGTTTAACCCAAGATATCCATAATATTATTATTTTAGTGTACAATCAATATCAAATTTGTTGCATTATTGTCTTTCATACTAAGTCTTTGTATTCTGGTATTTTACACTTTGCAGAACACCTTAATTTAGACGAGTTACATTTCAAGTGCTCAGTAGCGACAGGTGAAGAGGCCACCATTTTGGACAGTGCAAGTCTAGGGCAATAGATGCCAGCTACTTATCAGTTGTATTCTTTTTTTTTTTTTTTTTTGGTGAGGAAGATTGGCCCTGAGCTAACATCTGTTGCCAATCTTCCTCTTTTTGCTTGAGGAAGATTGTTGCTGGGCTAACATCTGTACCAATCTTCCTCTATTTCATGTGGGATGTCACCACAACATGGCTTGACAAGCAGTGCTAGGTCCTCACCCAGGATCTGAAGCTGTGAATCCTGGCCTGCCAAAGCAGAATGCGCAAACTTAACCACTATGCTACCTGGCGGGCCCCCATGAGTTGTATTCTTAATGTGCTTTTCTAAGACAGTATGATAATTTTCTGAAGATATTTATTATAAAGATGGTGTTTAGCACAGAAGCTTAGCACTGAGGAGTTATGAGTAAATGTTAGAGATTATTATGATGATTTTTCATTGCGTTGCTTGTGATTTTTAATTTTTATAATCTGTCTTACCCTTTCAGAAACATTGGAATGCCCTTGTAAAATAGCCCATAATCCTATGTCTCATATCCTGCATAATTAAATATAATATTATTTCTGAGTTTATTTAATGTGCAGTAATTTGAGTTTCTAGATAGTACTATACCAATGACTAACCATACACAATTTTAAATGGTCTTCCTTGGGAAGATTCCATATGTTTGTATCTGCAGATAGTGTTGATTTCAGCTATGTAGGAGCTTAAATGAGTGAATGTAAGCTCCACAAGCCTGGTGCACAGGAGGTGGTCAACACACATTTGTTGAGCAGATCTCCAGGTATCACTGAGAACTTATTACTGTGCTCTGTTGCTCTTGTTGGCAGAAGTCTGCTGCCTGAATGTTTGGGACATTATCTAAATTAGAAGATGATGGTCATGTGACATGTAATGGTACATTTGGTCAAAGGGTGCCATTTAAGGACTTCTCCATGTTAATTTCAAAACTTCAACGTTCAGACTGATGTGTCTAGCTTTACAGCATAACAACCGATGGTGCTGGTGAAATTTTTCAACGTTCAGTAAGTTTCTTTGTAAGTTATTCAAATATTCTAGTTTAAGGGAAGGCAAAGGTTTGGGTCCCATGCACAGTTTTGCATTCTCAACTGGTGGTTGCTTCGAGGAAACAAAATGCTTTCATGATATGAATTCAGGAAGAGAGATTAAAGATAGACAAATCTTCCATAAATCCAAGGCAACCATTTGCAGGTCTTCTATTTAGATTCATGGTCCATCGAACTCTTAGTTGCATTAACGACAGAGTTAGTGTTTCCACTGTAGTCCAGATTGCTTTTTAGCAGTGTCATGTCTTCTTCAGTAGAAGAAGGTAGGTTGGATAGAGATGATAAGCAAAGGGTAAGTAAATCTTTGATAAAATAGTATTGATATAACCCACTTTGGCTTACCTGCTTCTATTGATAAGTCATGGGACTTGAAAAAACTCAAACATTAACAAGCGCCAAAAGCAACGCAAAAAGTAAGGTGAAGGGGCAACACCCACAGCAGGCAGAACGCTGGCTTCTTGGGTCTCCTCCCAGATCTCTCACTTGCCCTGGGTTAATGATGATGAGACTTAACTGGAACAGCAATATGTCTGACATATGGAGGTCATGCCAAGGAAAGAAGATCTGTGCTAATGGTGTTACAATATGCTTGAAGTAACAGAGTTCCAAACTTGTTGACCCTTCTATGTGAGCTTTTGATCAACTAGCTGGAAAATTGGCTTAGAGCTCTAATTGTGAGAGTGATGAGGGGTTTTAATTATTCTCCAAAGTGGAGAACAAATGTCCTGAACCAGATTTACATCTTATGAGATTCTTCTGGAGAAAAAAAATATTTCAAGAAATTTAACCCAATCTTTTTCTAAAATTATGGTCCATTTTTTAATTAGTTTAAAAATAGCAATATACATATCACAAATATCCTACACAAGATAATAAAAGCTGATTGATATTAAGGCTGATCATTTTCTCAGGTCCAAATATGCCATGGTTATGACAGGACTCAATAGGAAAAATAAAGTCACAGAATAAATGCTAGTTATTCATTCTTTTAATGAATGTTTATTGTGTACTTACTACAGAGCAGACGCTATTCCAATGTTTAGGAAAACAACAGACAACAAAACAAATAACCCGCTATTTTTGGTGCTTACAGTTCAGAAGGAAAGATAAGCAATAACCAAAATTGTGAATATATAATACATGCAGTAGTGATAAATGCTATGACTGCAATGGGGAATTACATCCTTATTTTATGAGAGACACAATTTTAGATAAGGTGATCAGGAAGAGAAGTTAGCAACTGAAGAGAGATCAAAGAAAGATGAATATGTCCAAAAGAAGAGGATTCCAGGGAGCAGATATAGCATATGCAAAGACCCTGTGGCAGTGGCACGTTCAGTCCATTTGAGGAAGAACAGGAAGACAGATATGGCTAGAAGAGAACAAGTTGGGAGACAAAGCTAGTAGAAAATGTTACCAGCAAGCAAAGTAGATGTTGTATATTGCTCAAAAGTCATCTGGTATTTCCTTATGATTTCCTTTGCAACTGGCTGGCTTCATTCAACAATATTTTCATGAAAATATAAAGAAATGCTTTTTCCTATACTAGCATTTAAAAAATATCTGCAGTTTGCAGTAAACAATAAGTGCATGAAATTTTCAAGGCTGATAGGTTAGAGAGATAGCCAGGGGCTGATCATGGAGGGCTGTATACGCATATATGGACTTATGGTTTCATAATTCCTTGTTCCAAATATTGGTAGGAAGATTTATATTTTCTGAGTGGTCCACTTTATTCTAGGAAAGACTTTTTATTTTAAGAAACAGCCCACTGGAAAAGTTTTTCCTACCATGGGATCCAATTTATCAGATCCCACGTAAGCTCTGTGCCTACCCCCACTAAAATCGAAGATGTAAACGGAGAGATTCCCAAACTGCTTGTAGTTCGTCTTGCAATGTCAGGCTTCTGCACAGAGCTGTATTTATATTTTGACTGAGGCAAAAAGAAAATATCACATAAACTTCAGTTATGGCACCTGGAATTTAATAATTTCTTTTAGTCCACGTTGCAACACAGAAAGGAGGATGTTGGCTCTGAAAATTTCATCCACTTATTTTTCGCTATAAACAGCAGATATTTAAAAAATGCTAGTGTAGGAAAAAGCGTTTCTTTATATTTTCCTGAAAGATTTGTTGGATGAAGCCAGCCAGTTGCAAAGGAAATCGTAAGGAAATACCAGATGACTTTTCAGCAATAAGCAACGCAATCCACTTTGGTCATGTGTAAATCTTGAATTCATCACAGGAAACTTGGCCTAACATGCTCATTCGGTAGCATGAACAAGACTTTTTATTGATTCTACTAGTAAACATTAACAGATAATACGTTTTCTGAAGTTTTTTCCCTGCTGAAGCGTGTTAGTCAATCTGTAGTAGGAATAATACTTTGAACAATCCCTTCGACTTGTGTATTTGAGAATAGGATTTTTAAGATACACTGTGCATTAGATAATAGCTGTCGATTGACAGTTTATATGACAGTTCAAAAAAGCTTGAAAGTGAAAATGTACAGTCAGTACTAATGGTCCCCAAGTTACAATGGTTTGACTTATGCGATACTATTCAGTAGAGACCATGCTTGCAGTTCTCAATTCTGATCTTTTCCCGGGCTGGCGACATGCTGTAGGATCCCCTCTCAAGATGCCGGGCAGCGACAACCACAGCTCCCAGTCAGCCCCACCACCACGAGGGTAAACAACCCATCTGCTTACAACCATTCTGTCCCCATCCAGCCATCCTGTCCTTCACTTTCGGTACAGTGTTCAATCAATTACATGAGATATTATAAAATGGGCTTTGTGCTAGATGATGTTGCCCAGCTGTAGGCTAAGTTTTCTGGTAAGTGTTCTGAGCACACTAAAGGTAGGCTGGGCTAAGCTGTGATGTTCGGTGGGTTATGTGTTTTTACTGCATTTTTGACTTACGATATTTTTGAATTACGATGGGTTTACTGGATGTAACCCTATCAGAAGTTGAGGAAGCTCTGCAGTTCTGATAAGCTTAAGATTTAGTTTGATGTTCAGCCTTGGTTGAACTAGATGTGCTCGATCCAGTGCATTCCCTCACTCCCTCCCCATATTCTGCATTAAACCTTATGAATATTCATATCCTATAGACTATGCAGCGGAGAAATCAGTGCTGACCTTCTTACTTACCTTAGATTGTTTTAGTCGAAATTCCTTATCTCTCTGCATTCTGTACTGGTCGATTTCTGCCATCGCTTCTTCCTTAGCTTGCTTCAATCTCTTCCCTTTTCCTGAAAATTAACAGAGGCATAGAAGGAAGGATATTTCTTTTTAATATACGTGGAATTTCACACTTGATTTTTTAAAATATGGATGAGATACACATTATTTTATTTTATTTTTTTTGAGGAAGATTGGCCCTGAACGAACATCTGCTGCCAATCTTCCTTTTTTTACTGAGGAAGACTGGCCCTGAGCTAACATCTGTGCCCATCTTCCTCTATTTTACATGTAGGACGGCTTGGCTTGATAGGCAGTGCTAGGTCTGCACTTGGGATCTGAACTGGTGAACCCCGGGCCACTGAAGCAGAGTGTGCTAACTCAACCACTATGCCACCAGGCCGGCCCAAGATCCACGTTATTTTTTGACCATTTTTTTTCTAAAATGGCAAGCTTCATTAAAAAAAAATAGATATTTAAAATTGCTTATTTTTTCGATTGGGTTCTTTAAAACATGAAAATGACGACCTTCTTTCACACTTCCATGTTTAAGTAAAATATCTGCCCATTTACTCACAGCAGTAACAGCCAGAGAACAGATTTTAGCTGTCACTTACTCCAAAAGACATTATTTGGTCCGATTTTCTGTCCTGATTTGCTGCCAGGAATCCTTCAGTCCTCACCAACTGGATCCTATTTAACACTGGCAGATCTCCAAAAGCACTAACAAATATGCAACTCAGACTCTATCAAACCGACTTACAATTTTTTACAGCATTTTATTGGGATTTTTTTTTCTTACCATTTGTTGACTCTAGAATGTCTGATTAAGCCCCACAGCACATCAAAGTCAATATTTTTTTTGCAGTAGCTTTCTCTGAGGGGGACATGAAAGTGGTTGTAAAACCAATTGTTTTTAATGGCTGGGAGCTCTAGTTAAGTCGCTCTCTTTTCTTTTATTAAGAGCAAAGGTGTAAACCTTAAGCCAGCAGACAGTAATGTAGATGAAAGTTGCAGACAAATACAATGCTGTGGGGGTCATTAGCTAAGAACAGGACTTTTTGGACAAGCAGAGTAAGTTTGGGGGTTATAGACTAATATTAATTGCTGTTCTGTCCCCACCACCCCCAACCTTCAAGGGGTTAGGTACTAACGCTTTGCGATCATTAAAACTTTAAAGAAACTCTGAACTGTGTTAAAATGCTTTTTTCTCTGAGTCTATTGTCTTTCTATTTCAGTTAAATGCCTTCATTCTTTTGCCCACTTAATATAGTTTCTCTTCTCTGAAAATGTCTCTTAAGCTTTTGTTTATAATTTTTGTCGAGTTTGTTACATCGTGTAGATTCTGAACTGAATGTGTCCTCATTAAGCAGCATATTTGACATAAACTTTTATCTACCTGCTATCTACGTATAGGTTTTTATATGCCTTTGTTTTTAGGTAGCTTTGTAGCATTTGAGTATAGCTGGTTTCTCAATTTCTCTCTCTGCTAGATATGAGTCGCTTTGCTAGTCCCGTGTATAAATGGAATAAAGATAGATTCACTGAGTTATAAATTGAAATGTGTCTCTTTTAATACTTTTTACCCTTAGATAGGGGGAGTGCGTAGACCTCATTCAGAGCAGATATTTAGTTCTGTCTTTACTCCCTTTAAAATCCAAGGTCAGGTAAAAGTTAGCACTCTTCTGATGCTTGAGGCTCCACGGAACATTAACAGCAATGCCTACCTTCTTCCTACTTAATTAACGCTCATAACCATTTTGTATATACAGATTCCTTCATTCTCTACAGTTCTAACCATTTGGTAGCCACGGAACACGTACTATTCACGGAACAAATTGGTGATATGTTGGTAGGGGGAAAACTATTCTTTGATCCCCAGCCCTCTTTCATATTACTGCTTCTCATTCCTATTAGGACAAAAATATGTTTAAGATATCTTAACATTTTCTTAGTAATAATGGGCTGTAGGATACATAACTATTTTATAAAAAAATCACATAAAACATCATTACTCTCCACCTTAATTACACAATATGTAAAAATATTGGTTTCAAAGTCATGACTGTAGCACATAAAAAAATAACAATAACAGGCAAAGCTCTGCGCGCCCTACCCCTGAGCAAAATCCAGCGCTCCACTTACGAGGCTGTATATTAACTCCATCACACAGTGACAGGCTCAGAGTGTGTCTGTGATTCCCCGTCATGGCACCAGTCACCTGCTGGTTCTCATTCAATTAAATAGGAGAGCCACAGGGAAAATGCTGCTGGCACAGCAATTTTCTGGATCGACTCAGCAGCTGCCACCGTGTGAGAGCCCGCATATGCTACACCTGATTTAATCCAGTGGAAGAAACTGGAGCCTGAAGGCCGCTGTTTTGCTAGAGGTGAGGCAAAATGAGTGTACCGAATCCACTCCTATTAACCTCCAGCCTGCTCCTCTGTGTACGATTTCCAAATTTTAAAATTGTACTTCTTTCTTCTTGAGCGTTTTTTAAATGCTACTGGGAACCAAAAGATGTTCATATCCCTGTTTTTCAATACTTTCTGTATCGAACATAAGGGTGACCACATAGCACCGTCCAAATATGACCATCAACTATTTGGTTCTTAAGTTCCTTCAAGGTCAGGCAAGCTTATCAGGACAAATGTTCTGGGTTTTGGTTTAGAAAATGTTGTTATCTTATGCATCATGATTTTAAATCCTGGTAAAGCAGCTGCTGCAGAGTGATGCCGGAAAGGATGGTTTTAATTTACCATCCATTATTCATTCAATAATTATTGAACACCTACTATACATAAATTATGCATGGGCTTAGACACAGAGGATAAAGAAATACATTTGATATGGTCCTTGCCTCCAGTTGGCATAAATACAGTGTATTTTGGAAATATGTACACGCTGTTCCAGCTTCCAAGAGGAAAATTACAAAATACGTGAAATTGTGAAGAATGCACAAAATCAACTCTGAAAACAGAGGAACATAAATCTTGGTTCTATTTGTTCCATAGCAGTCAAAAATCACAACATTTATGGAAACTTCTGCTACTAAAATTCTAGAGAATCTGTGCTTGCCCTCCACTCCAATAGTCATGTTATGTCTTATGCTAACAGATTAAGTCGAAAACATAAACAAATAGACCCAGATATACAGAACTGGACTCAGAGTAGGCTGCCAGGGGAGGTCAGGCAAGATCTCTATGGAGGGAACCATTAAGCTAAATAGACTTATAAGCCTGGACAGAAATGGGGATGGACAGTCCATTTTGGGGATTAGAAAAAGGGCAAGAAGATCTTTTCTAAGATATTTTTGGGACCTCTTTGTAAATGGTTCCACCTTAATAAAGTCATTCATTTTTCGACATGTGGCTTGTTATGCAGATATGTTCTATATTCAACAAGTCATTACTGAGATATATTCCGTAGGATGTTTCTGGGAGGAAAAGAAGAGAAAGATGTCTGGATTGATCTGCAGTTGATTTGTGGAGAAAGGATTAAAAAATCAATTCTGAGCGGGTTAAAACTGAACTCTGTGTGGAAGGCAGAGGGCAATGCTTAAAGATGGACTCCTGCCGGCTTCTTGGCTGGGAAAGGCCAACTGAACTGAGTCTTCCAACAGGCAAATGAGCCCTGGGAACACAGAGAACCCTACTCTGTTGCTTGGATTGCTAAATTGGTTCTGGAACCTTCTCCTGATGAGAAAGATGGGTTTTCATTTATCATTTCAGAAAGGCATCAAAATTATACACTAGGCACTAGTACAATAAGGTATTAGAGGCTTTGTAACCTTAAGCAAGTTATTTAGAGTTTCTGAACCTGAGTTTTCTCATCTATAAAACAGACCTAATAATCTACTGCAAAGAGTCCTTAGAAGGATTAGAAAAACATGTTTATGAAGTGCTTGATGAAGAATATTCAGTAATTTCTAATCATTATTAGAAAACAGGCCCATTTCCTGGGGCCTTTTGCTAGGAAGGAAGGCAGGGTAAAGAGTGAGTTTGAGAAGACCTCAGGCCGTCACCAACAAAACCTCTGTAGGCTTCCGTGAGGACACGCAAGTGGAGGTATTCATAGGACAGCTGGACAGACAAATTTGGAATCCAGAAGAAAGGTCTGAGAGGCAGACAGAGATTGGCATGTCAATCATCCGGGTTTGTGTACATGCCAGTCATAGTGATGGGGTTTGGGCTGAAATCAAGGGGGAGTGTACAGAGGAGGAGAAAAGAGGCCTAAGGTCTCCAGCTTGGGGAATGCCAACATTCGAGGGATGAGAGAAGGAAGAGGAGCCTTAGGAGGAGCCTGAGGTCAGAGAAGTAGGGGAAACCAAACGAGAGGAGAGAACACTCAAGGAGGATGTGGCCAACAGTATCAAATATTACTCGGAATGTAAATAAGAGACATTTAATCAACCAATATTCCTGGATGTCAACTATGTGCCACACACTGTTCCTGGTCTATCAATACAACTGTGAAAATCGTGAAGAGACAAACTGTCAGCTCTCGTGGGGCTTGCATTCTGAGTGCAGTCGAGGGAGATGGCAATAGAAAGCAGACAAGAGGTGTATGATATGACAGGGATGATGAGTTCCATGAAGAAGAAGAAAGAAGCATAAGGGATAAGGATGTGGTGGCGGGTCCTCATTTAGATCAGTCAAGTGTCTTGGAAGAAGAGATAGATGAGCAGAGACCTGAAGGCATAAGGCAACTAGCCATGCAAATATCTGAAAGGGAAGAACATTCTGGGAAGAAGGAACAGAAAATGCAAAGACTCTGAGTGAGAGGGTATTTGATACATTCCAAAAACAGTAAAAACACTATCGTGACTGGGTCAAAGAACAGAATGGGTGAAAGTTAGATGCTATCAGAGAGGCAGTACTGGGGCCAGGTCACATAGAGCTCATGGGGCTTGGAAAGGATTTTGGTCCTTGGGATGCTAAATCCGTGAAGGATTTTCAGCAAAGGCGTAGCATAATACTACTGATGATTTAAAAGGATTTCTTTGGCTGGTGTGGTGAAAAGAGATTGTAGGAGCAAGGGAGAAGCAGGAAGATCAGTTTGAAATCTATTG